GGGGGTTCTGGGGTACCTGGGGGAGTTCTGGGGTACCTGAGGGGGTTCTGGGGTGTCCAGGGGGGTTCTGGGGTGTCCAGGGGGGGTTCTGGGGTGCCCAGGGGTGTTCTGGAGTGCCCAGGGGGGTTCTGGGGTGCCTGGGGGAGTTCTGGGGGTACCTGAGGGGTTCTTTGATAGCCATGGGGGTCCTGTGTCACCCACAGGGCTCCTGTGTCACCCACGAGGGTCCTGTGTCACCCAGGGGTCTCATCCCAGCACTGCCACTCCAAGAGAGGGGACAGGGGGTGGCTTTTGGGGGTCACTGGGCTCTTGTGGAACCCCTCAGAGGTCTCATCCTGGCACTGCCACTCCAGGGGAGGGGACACCTTGGGGGTCTGGGGGCTTCCTGTGCCACCCACGGGCTCATCCCGGCACCGCCACTCCGAGTGAGGGGACAGGGGGTGACTTTTGGGTGGGCTGGAGGTTTCTGGAACCCCTCAGGGGTCTCATCCTGGCACTGCCACTCCAGGGGAGGGGACAGGGGGTGACTTTTGGGGGTCCCTGAGGTCTTGTGGAACCCCTCAGGGGTCTCATCCTGGCACTGCCACTCCAGGGGAGGGGACAGGGGGTGACTTTTGGGGGTCGCTGGGCTCTTGCCGAACCCCTCAGGAACCCCAGGAACCACCACCACCCTCACCTCACCTTCCCCAAACCCCCCCAAACCCTCACCCACCCTAAAAAAACCCCCCAAAAAACCTCCCCCTCCTCCCACCCCAGGGCCGGCTTCGCCCGCCAGGGCGCCAAGGAGAAGCAGCTGCTGAAGGAGGGCAACGCCTTCAACGTCTCGTCCTTCGTGCTGAGGGCCACCATGAGCGGCCAGTACTGGCCCGAGGGCGACGAGCTGTACCACGCCGAGCTGGCCGTGCCCGTGCTGCTCGTGCACGGCATGCACGACAAGTTCGTGCCCGTGGAGGAGGACCAGAGGATGGCGGAGGTGAGGGAGGGCGGGGAGGGGAGGGGAAGGGGAAGGGGAAGGGGAAGGGAAAGGGAAAGGGAAAGGGAAAGGGAAAGGGAAAGGGAAAGG